AGTTTTTGAAGGGATGAGCCCATGACATAGTTTCCTGTTTGGCTTCTGCAGCTCTAACTTGCTCTGGAAAGCTCAGAAGGAAAGGGATTGGTGAACACTCCATTTGCCCTTTTCTATGTAAAAACAAAGCCACACTGGAGGCCATGGTTACAGCTTCATCCTGGAGCTTATTCTTTTTTTTTTTTATCCTCACCCGAGGATATTTTTCCATTTTTTGTACAGATAGAGTGGGAGGGTGAGAGAGGAAGGGAGAGAGAGAAACATCAACGTGAAGGGACACATCGAGTGGCTGCCATCCGCACGACCAACCAGGGCCGGGGACAAACTGCAACCGAAGTACGTGCCCTTAGCGGGAACTGAACCCGGGTCTCTCCGGACCGCAGGCCGACGCTCTAACCGCTGAGCCAAACTGGCCAGGGCTGGAGCTTATTCTTGCTGAGCTGGGCCAGGCATTCCCCACACCCAGGCCACCCTGAGAGCCCAGCGTGGCTGCAGCCGCTCCAAGCCTGGGCCTGTTTACTTGGACACCCGAAGCTGTCCCCAGATACAACAGCTGACCCTTTTGTATGTCTCACAGTCCCTCTCTTTCCCAAGTAGGGAAGGAATCACTTCTGTTTTATTTGCCCCCGAATGGAACTGGAAGCAAAAGGTATTGTTCCCCGGTGATAAAGACTATGAACTAGTCAGATATGGTGGCTTCTATTTCTTGTGGATGTACTTCAGGCTAGCATTTTGCAGATGTTTCTTATTACATTCGCGCTCACAAATAACCGCCAACTGACAGAAGAGTGGGGGTCTGTTCTGTACCCGAATGCGAGCGTTTGCAGACACGAGCGTCCACGAGGGATTTGTTTTGCAGCTGTAGGAGGATTCACAGTAATGCAAATTATTATATTCCTCTTAAAACCCTGAGTCGAGCAGGGGAAGGTTGCAGTATTCTTGGCATAGACCAAGGGAAGATTATTAAAAGCAAGTCAGATTTGGGATTGTCTGAAAGCACTAAACACAGAAGAATGGACTAGAGAATCCAGTATGGGCGGATACACCACAAGGGATATAGCACTGGAGTGGCGGAAGAAAAGACCAATCCTATTATTCTTTACCTCATCTTTAAGATTTCAGTGTGTGAGTGTATGTTTTCTGATGTGCATAATATATTTGAGCAGGAATAGCTTACTGCAGTAGAATGACTGTGTTCCTGGAACTAATTATTTATGTCTTCCTGTATCCAAGCTCTTTGCCATATAACTTTACAAGTTTTTCCTATAGTGGGTAGGCGAACCTGCCCTGCCCTTTCACTCTGAGTTTGGTCTTGTGACTTGCTTTGGCCAATGCGTGGAGCAAATGACATTGAAGAGAAGCTTAGACTGTGCTTATGTGATTAGGCACATTTCTACCTCTCTCCCTCCCCCCGCCCCCATCCTTTGCCATGGATATAAGTCTGCTGGAGAATGAAAGATATGTAGCCTAGTCTCCTCCTTCATTCCAGCTGTCAACCAGCTGACCATCAGATATGAGGCCAAATGAGAAGAACCTTCTTGTTGAAACCAGCCTAAGTTGCTATCTCACACACTCATTAGTTAAAGAAATGCTTCACATTTAAGCCATTGGGTTTTGGGGTGGTTTTTGAAGCATCATTATTGTGACAATAAATACATTTATGAATAACTAAATACACATTGATCATGGGTGTGTGCTCAAAAATTTTATACTTTGAGATGTATGACAAATAAAATGCTTGGAGACTATTTGATCAGAGTTACTTCTAGGGTTCCATGTCTCAGATTCTCATGTTTATTTAGTCATGTCTATTTATATCAGTTTTTTCTCATTGTTCAGATTTTACCTAAATGTCATTTTCTCCAAGAGGGTTTCTCTGGCCATCCCATCAAAGGTAGATTCTGCAACCCTATTATTCTATACAAGACACACAAATATCTGAAATTATTTATTATCTTTCTCCATTAGAGTAAAACTTCATTGGGGAAAGAACTTGACCTTTTCTTTTTAATATCACCTGGTATCTCCAGTGTTTAGAATACTACTTGGCACACTGGAGGTGCTCAAAGAGTTCTTGCTCAGTGAATGAATGAGATGGGGTTTTGTGGGTAACATGAAGAATTGGTTCTAATATTTTGCATCTTTTTACTTTGTATCCACATAAGGAAACAAAACATTTCATCACCATTTGGACAGTGTTCTTTTCTCTTTGCTTACTGAAAAGACAAACCCTCTGTACACAATATGCAATGTTAGGAGGAGCATTAAGAACTGGGTTAATAAGACATCAGTCCTGGGGAACAGAGCAGCCCTCGAATGTTCACGGGTAGTTGCTCTTATAGATTAGTTTAAAAATAAATACAAGTCTTTTATCTAATTCATAATGATTTTTACTAGTGTAATTAATTCTCAGAGAATAAAATGGACAAAGGCCATTGATAAAGGTTAAGGTTGGGAAATGGTAAGGTTGAAGTGTACAAATTTGGGTTTGTGAAAATAGAGTCTGATAGAGAGAAAGGCCACAAAAGAAAACTCACATTGTGAAAGCAATCACTGGTAAAATTTATCGTAGATAAAACTTGAACGTTGATTCAATTTATATTGTGAAATTAATTGAAAACACTGGTCTTGAGAAATATAATTTCAGTTAACATAAAAAGGTGATCACCCGGAAGTTTTAAACATCATTGTATATGAAGCCAATCAAGAAATTAAATGGGCCTTGGCCAGTTTGGCTCAGCGGTTAGAGCGTCGGCCTGCAGACCAGAGAGACCTGGATTCGGTTCCCGCTAAGGGCACGTACCTCGGTTGCAGTTTATCCCCGGCCCTGGTTGGGGTCGTGTATGTGGCAACCACTCAATGTGTCTCTCTCACATTGATGTTTCTCTCTCTCTCTTCCCCCCTCTCTCCCTCCCGCTCTATCTGAGGATAAATGCAAAAATGTCCTCGGGTGAGGATTAAAAAAAAAAGAAATTAAATGGGATCAATGGGCATTCACTTCAGGGACTTTTTGAAAAGCAAAATCCAGCATTGGCAACAAAATTTTTACAAAAATATTGACATTAATATACAGAAGGTAAAAAAAAGTTTTGTGGGTTAAAAGTATGGTATCGCAGACTCCCATAGGTCCAGCCAATATATGCTAGTCTTCTAAGATGTTTGAATGAATGGAAACTTGACTCTCTAAAACTTGGAATTATATTACCAGCATGTGGATTTGCTTTTTTCCCCTTCCTACCTTACCTCCAAAGTAAATGTCATTTGCTGGTGACAAATCACCCTCCATCAGCTCCATCTGTACACTCAGTCTATTTACGATGGAGATGACCTTTTGTCACATGGCACATGCTCAGAGGGGTGGCATTTGGCTTGCTCATTTGGAAGAGCCTAAGGTCATTGCTTCACTGAAGAAGGCTCACAAATTCGGCAGAACGTATGGGCTGTCCCACGGCGGGAAGGGAGGCAGGCTCGGTGAGCGGCAGAGCTCCTCCCCCCCCCTAGAGATGAGGAAACTGAGGATCGGGAGTGAGGGAGGGAGGTTTCATGGCTCATTATTTAAGGTCACAATTAATTATGACCAGATCTGATAGTAGAATTGAAAAAGAAATTTTCCACCCTACCAAACTACATTGTTAGTAGCCCTGGGTTGGTTCATCTCAGAAGTTCACCTGAGAGTTTGGTTTCTGACATATCCAATGTTAATGTTGAATATATCGACTTCCTAACATGGGAAAAACTTGTTATATTTGCTTAATGTCTTTTAAAGGCATTATGATAATCTACTTAAGAAATACATGGAACAGACTGACAGCTGTTAGAGGGGAGGGCTAGGACCAGAGAAAAGAAGGTGAAGAGATTAGCCAAAGAACATATATGCGTAGCCCATGGACACAGACAGCAGTGTGCTGATGGCCAGGGGAGTTGGGGGTGGGGCGGGGGCTGAGTGGAGGTGGGCAAAGAAGAGGGGGGAGTAGGAGACATCTGTAATATTGTCCGCAATAATTTAAAAAAGAAAACGGGGAAACCTTACACCTAGTTCTTTCCTATGCACACGCATCAGCTTATTCATTGACCCGAGAAGACCCAATCAGCATTTTCAGGGCTTCAGGGATATTCCAGGGATTTAGTCTAGCATCCCAGAAATGCAGATATGTGAGCAAGTGGCATAAATTGTTATCAAAAGGCAAATACCAAAGAAAGCGATGAGGAATTCACTAGTGTATTACCTGTTCAAGACCTGCAGAACTAAAGCATGGAAGAGGCAGTGCTGGGTGTGGATTTCACACTTGGTCAGGCTTGGGTTTCAGTCCTCACTCAGATTTAGTGTGTGTCTGCCTCAAACTCTCTGCACCGCAGTGCCCTCTCTATAAACTGAAGCAAAAATACCAAGTCCTGAAAGAGTTGGTGACACCGGAGCAAGTTTCAGTTTTAGATGCTCTTTTACACACTCAGATTTAGCCGCCACCAGTGATTTCAGTTAGGGCGGACAGTGTTCCGTCAAGTCTCACGTCCTCTCTGGAATAAGTATACGGTGTCCTTAAAAAACAACAACAAAAATGGAAACTCCTTCCAGTGTGTCCCGTTTTAAACAGAAATGGTGATTATAACCACCTCACAGGGTGAAGATAAAGTTACATCATAAGCTACTTAGGACAATAGATGTTCAACGAGTGGCAATAACAACAAGAATGATGACGAGGAAATTTCCCACCTAAGTTAATAATGAGTCTTCCTTAAAATCTGCCTGTTCAGGGTTTTAAAACTAAATCTAGGTATGGAGATTCCTAGGACCAAGTCAAAATCAGTTACTTACTGGACTACAGTTTCTCTTCTTTCCAACCCGCTAACAGCCACCTCTGTTTCTGTTAGCTGATGCAGCGATGGATGGTCCTTGGGAAGGCAAGGGAAAGGTCAGGGGATGAGGACAGGCAGCTGCCAACCAGGGAACGAACGGGAGGGCTGGGGAAGAGGGCAGGAAAGCCCAAGGCCCTGGTACTCACCGCGGCCCACCACCAGGAGTGGGGGATGCTGGTGAAGTTGGTGTCGGGCATATCGTGCTCCACGGAGTAGACGGCAGCAGAAAAGGAGAAGATACCCATGGTGATAAACAGCAGCAGGCAACCCACCTGCTGGTAGCACTGGCGCAGCGTGAAGCCAAAGGCGCGCAGGCCCGTGGAGTGTCGCGCCAGCTTGAGGATGCGGAAGATGCGCATGAGGCGCATGATACGCAGCACCTGGCCCACTTTGCCCACAGTTTCGAGGTCGTGCTCGCGCGGGGTGCCCTTGCCGTGCCGCTGGTCCTCCTCCGTGAAGCACTCGAGCAGCAGCTGCAGGTAGAGCGGCAGGATGGCCACCAGGTCCACCAGGTTGAGGGCGCTGCGCGCGAAGCTCCGCAGGTCGGGCGTGGAGACGAGGCGCAGCAGGAACTCGAGCGTGAAGAAGGCGATGCACAGCATCTCCACGTGCTCCAGGGCCCGCCACCGGCCGCCCTGCTGCACCTGCTGGTGCATCTCCTCCACCGTGTTGAGCGCCAGCGCCACGATGGAGACGAGCACGAAGAGGCTGGAGGCCACCCCGATGGCCTTGGCGGCCACGGACGAGAAGGGCTTCTCCATGAGGTTCCAGAGGCGGCGCCGCTGCGCCCCGTAGAAGCGCATGTCGCGGAAGAGCTCCTCGGCCTCCTCGGCCTGCGCCTGGGCGCGCAGCTCGCGCTGGATCTTGAGCTGCTCGCACAGCTCGTCCCTTCGCTCCTCGAAGCAGATGCGGCAGCAGCGCGGCGTGTACTTGAGCCGCACGCCCCAGTAGCCCAGCTCCTCCAGGAAGCTGCGCGGGCACAGCTCGTCGCGGACCAGCAGCAGCCCGGACATGTAGAAGTTGTAGACGAGCTGGAAGACGGCCGGGTCACGATCGAAGAAGTATTCGTCTGTCTGTGCCTCATAGTCGTCGCACAGGCCCAGCTGGCGGCTGCGGTTGGTGGAGGTGACCAGGCGGCCCAGACGCGTCTTGGGGTAGCAGGCCAGGTCTGTGTAGTCCAGGCGGTAGCTCTGGCCGCCCACGTTCACGTTCAGCGTGGAATGCTCAGTGGGGCCTTCCCCCTGGGCGGTGGTGGCCTCCTCCGTCTGCTGCTGCTCCTCGGCCGAGTCGACCTTCCACTGCTCCTCCTCCTCCCCATCCTCATCCTCCTCGATGTAGTAGTTATAGTTGCCCTGGGTCCATGGTGGGATGCTGGCCTGGGAGGCGGAACGGGCCACCAAGGAGCAGATGCTCCCGCGGTGATGGCTGTCCCCTGGATGGAGAGCATCCTCACACTCGGTCGTATTCCAGGGCCTGTAGCTCCAAGACCGCCTCCTCTCACTATTTTTTAGCATGGCTGAGGGAAGCAGACCCCTCGCTATTCCTTCCTATCTGCGGTAGGGTCCCCAACCTGCCCACTGCCACTAGGAGGATGGATCATGTGTCCCTCACTGCCTTAGAAAGGACCACAGACTAGGGTCCCAGACATTGCCCTCAGAATGGCCCCTCTTCAGCACTGGGCAGCCCAGCCCAGGCCGCTGGGTCTGGACACATAGGCAGACAGCTGTTGACTGCTCTAATCTTGCTGAGAAGGAAGAAGCAGCCTTAGAAGGGATTTAGAACCTCTTAGCCTGTTTCCTCCCTGTCTCTCTCCACTCTGTGTGACGTAGAGGATGATTAAGTGGTCTTAAATCTGGTGGCGGAGATTATTGCTAATAAAAATGTGGGCCACCCATGAGGCCTTCCCTTAGGAAGTGCTCCGTGTACCTATGCTGAGATGAAAGAATTAGCTATAGAATATATCTGTTTCAGTGTTGAACTCTTTGTTTCTGTTTCTCTCTCTTTCTTACCCTCCGTTTCTTAAAGGTAGAATCCCAGGACTGGTGGGGAGATGTTCTTAGGGCCTTGCAGCCCTGCTCAGCTGCTGTATTAGGCCCTTTGTGAAGGTGACCAGGCTTCCTTCTCAGGAAAAGGTCTCCATCACTCTTCAATATGTCACTTTTAAAAATACATATGTTTTTATTGCTTTTTAGAGAGAGCAGAAGGGAGAGAAAGATAAAAACCTTGAATAGAGAGAAACATCGATTGGCTGCCTCCTGCACATCTCTACTGGGGATTGGGCCCACAACCTGGGCATGTGTCCTGACTGGGAATCAAACCAGTGACCTCTTGGTCTGTGGGTTGACACTCAACCACTGAGCCCCACCAGCTGGGCAAGACATCACTTTTTAAAAAATCTCTTTTTGTATGTAAGGCAGTGTGCTAGATGCTGGAGATGGAAACTCGATGGAGACACAGTTGCAGCCCTCAATTTGCTCAGGGTTTTGTAGGTGACACAAATATGCAAGCACAGTAAAAGGGCAAGTGAAAAATACAGGGGTGTCAGAGAAGAGCAAGGGAGTTGCTTTGAGCAAGGAATTTGTTCTTAAATTCAATTTATTTTGATTAGCTAATACATGTTTATGAGATAAAATTGAAAAAGTACAGCTCAGCCAGTGTGGCTCAGTGGTTAAGCATCAACTCATGCACCAAGAGGTCAGTGGTTCAATTCCCAGTCAGGACACATGACCAGGTTGTGGGCTCAATCCCCAGTGGGGGGGCGTACAGGAGGCGGCTGATACATGTTTCTCTGTCATCAATGTTTCTATCTCTCTCCTCCTCCCTTCCTCTCTCTCAAAAAATAAATTAAAAAAACCCAAAAAACATTAAAAACATTCAAAAGGAGCATTATGGTACAAAGTTTCTCTCTCTTTCAACCCGAACTTACAGCTATTAAGTGTACCTCTGAGGAGGCAGCCACTGTTAGTACTTTTTGGTTAGCCTTCAAGAAATATTCTAAACACATACAAACAAAAACTTAGCTCCATCTATCATCTGAATAGCTCTCTATTATTAACACAAATCACAGGATACAATACTTTGCTTTTTCCAATTAACCATATGTCTTAGAGGTGTTTTATATCTGAACATACATATCTGCCTAATTTTAAAAATATCTACTTGGTAGTATGATAGTGATAGACATTCTGTCTTTGCTCTCAAACAATGGTGCAATGAATAACCTCATACATACATTGCTTTATATTAAGATATATGAAGGATAAATTGTTAGAGATGGAATTGTTAGATTGAAGACCTCACATTTGTCATTTTGATTGATAATGTCAATTTTCCCTCATAAAAGTTGACCAATTTACAACTCACCATCAATATATGAGAGTGTATTATCAGATTTCATGAGCTTTTCCCATTTTATAGGTGAAAAATATGTGGGTTAGTTTTAATTTATGTTTCTCTTATGAATGCATTTGAACATCTGTTCATGTGATTAAGCATTGCTGTATTTCTTTTTCTATTTTCCATCGAGTTATTGGTATTTTCTTATTGATTTGTAGAAGAGCTTTATATATCATGAAAGTAGACTTTATTTGCCTGTGATATGAACTACAAATTTTTTTTCCCCCTGAGTATATTTGATGACTTCTGGTTATATGTTATATTAGAAGAATCTTCACCTCTCTGTGATTCTTTAAACATTTTCTTCTTATGATTTCATTTTTCACATTTAAGGATTTGATCTATCAGGAATTAATTTTGATTTAAAGAGTGACGTAGAGCCCTACCTTTATTTTCCCGCTTTTTATACAGCTGGCCCAACACATTAATCGAATAATGTGTTTTCTCCTCGCTGATTTGTAGTGTCATCTTTATCATGTAGTTCAGTTGGACTCTACTGCAAAGGTGTTGGGACAGCTCACGGTTGCCACGGGGCCTGTACCTGCTAGTATAAGGTTCGCTGATGATGTTTAGCTTCCAATAGAGCTCAGACCTACAAGCTTCAAGCTCCTCTCCCCAGGACCAGCCTTGACGTCCCTCAGTGTATTTCCAGTGTTCCCCTGTGGGCATACAATATTGATGTTGTTTCTCTAGCCACAGACTTTACGTTTTGTCCCATTCCATCTCTTCTTTATAGTGTGCCAACTACTGTCACAATTGTTTTCATATGTTACATAAGTTCATTTTCTCCTTCAGAATCAATTATGCTATTATAAAGAGGAAAAGTACCATTATGTTCATAGTTTTAATTTTCTCTCTTTGCATTGCAATCATATAATAATTCTTACCTCAGCTCTCAACAGTCTCATGCCTTTTGCACTTAAAAACAATGGAGTGAGCCCTGGCCGGTTTGGCTCAGTGGTTAGAGCGTTGGCCTGCAGTCTGAAGAGACCCGGGTTCAGTTCCCACTAAGAGCACGTACCTCGGTTGCAGTTTGTCCCCGGCCCTGATTGGGTCATGTGGGTGGGGACCACTCGATGTGTTCCTTTCACGTTAATATTTCTCTCTCTCTCCCTCCCTCTGTCCCTCCCTCCCTCCGTCCCTCCCTCCCTTCCTCCCACTCTATCTGAACAAAATATCAAAAAATGTCCTCGGGTGAGGATTAAAAAACAAACAAACAAACAAAACAATGGAGTGAGCCCAGCCGGTGTTGCTCAGTGGTTGAACATCGACCCATGCACCAGGAGGTTGCCAGTTCAAATCCTGGTCAGAGCACATGCCCAGGTTGTGGGCCTGATCCCCAGTGAGGGCTTGCAGGAGGCGGCCAATCGATGTTCTCTCTCATCGATGTTTCTATCTCTCTCTCCCTCTCCCTTCCTCTCTCTCTAAAACCAATAAAGAAATAAAAAAAAAATTTTAGATTAAAAAAACAAACAAACAACAAGGAGTGAGTGATGTCTGCCAGGCATCTCAGAGCTGAGCGCAGGCACCGGAGCCGTGCAGTCGAGTGAGAGCCGCGGCCTTGATGACCGCTCCCGGTGGCTCTCACAGCCAAATGCGTCCGTTGCTGTGGACACGTTGCTTGGGTTTGGCTGGGATGTGTATGTGTGTGAGTGCGAAGGTAGCCGAGTGCCCACATATGGAAACACTTTCTGAGAGAGAACTGCTCTTTCAGAGACACTTTGTTCAGAGTGGTGATTTCCTTCTCTCTACAGGCAGGGAAGGCTCCACAGAGGGACACCTGCATGGGTGGAAAGTTGGGCTGGATGATCTTTAAGCTCCTTCTGGCTTGAAATTACTAAGATTCTAAGTCTTTCCTTAAGGTCCCATTTGTCTTGAATTCCATCCTGCCTTCTCCCTAAGTCCTTGGTCTTCAAAAGTCAGCTGAGGCAGCAGCATCTTTGTGTCTCGGCCACCCTCTCTGACATCTCTTTCCCCAAGATGGATAAGCTGCCCTTCCCAGAGTTCTCCTTCAGGAGAACACATTCCACTAACGTGTAATAGAAGTTACTTATTTTAACAGAGTGAGTTGAATTTTCCTGCATTACAAAAGTTCTATAAGTGTATTATAGAAAAATTAAAAAATAGAAAACAGAATACTAATAATTGGTATAATGATAACAGCAGTTGCCCAGATACTGTACTGTGATAGTGATTACAACAACCTATCATGTAGGTACTATAATTATTCCTATTTCACAGGCGAGGAAATTTACTTGCATTTCTTAAAGGCCTTTGAAGTCCCTGTCAATAAAGGACTGAGATTGTAGTTGCATACCAAAGCCAAAACAAAGAAATTACAAAACAACCAACAATCTCTCCAACTTTCAATAAAGGAAAAAGTAGTGTGTGTGTGTGTGTGTGTGTGTGTGTGTGTGTGTGTAAGTCTTTGCTGAGCCTGGTGAACTTTTTCTCCAGTAGTTGAATTATTTAGGTATATGTTCACCTCCTCTGTAGATTCACCTGTCTCATCATAGCTGAAAAGTGCAATGAATAGGAACAGCGATTGATGGCAAAGTGTCTGAGTCCGTTGAAATTCTTGCTGACCTAATAGAAGTTGTCTGTGAGTTTGGGAAAAGGAAGAGAGTGATGGGCAGACGAGACATCTGTGACTAAACCTTTCTTTTATTGATGTCTTGGAATCAGGCTTGAATCTGGAGCGCACACCCGCTTTCCCGAAGCACATCCATCCTCTTTAATTCCCTCTTTAAAGATGAAGAACCTGTGACTCGGAGATGCAGGCTTCTTGCCTGATGTCACTCGGTGAGTGGCTGGCAGAGCTGGATCCAGGATCTGAGACTCATCTGGCCGCGGCTCCGGGCCTGTCCTTCCTCCGCGCTGCAGCGGCAGAACAGGCAGCCGTGCGGGTGTGCGCCTGCCTCAGGAAACCGCTGCTTTTGGATCTTCACTCCTTGTTCTTCCTAAACATGCAGACAGACTTCAGTGTGGCTCTTCTTGCCCCAGATGAGGCACCAGAGCTTGACATCTGTGATGCCATTTTGGAAGTGGATGCAATCAATTCAGCTGGAAGTGTAGGCATCTGTCTTGTGTATAAGGCACTGTGCTACTTTCAAGCTGGGCTGACCCACTGGTTGTCTGGTCCCACTGCTCACTTTAGAGATAAGGAAACTGAGGTGTCAGATAAATCCGGCCACCTGCCCAGGGTCACATACATAGGTGAGTTAGTGTACACCTGACTCTAGAACCCTGTTCTAGACCAGGCGAGTGCCCTTCACCCCTAATTTGACATAGTTTGAGCATGACTGCATACAGTTTTCACGCTGA